GGGGGGGGGGGGGAATTCTGTTTGGTTGGTCGTATTTTCACATCAAGCCAGCACTTGCTTTCTTCTCTGAGTTGAAGTTTTATAAACAAATAGTGACAAAGGGAGCTCCAAAGGGAGGTAACGAAGTGTTAAAATAGAAAACATTGTTTCCAAGTAGAGTTTTAGATGGTTATTGACTATTAACTCCCCCTCAGACAGACTCCACAAATCCACCAATCAGTAAGTACGGCTCTAATTCTCTGTGTGGTCCTTCCTCTGCTCTTCTCTGGTATGTTGAACGTGACATGTCATCTCCCTCTATCAGATTCTTGTCTAATAAAGTTGGAAAATCTCTTCTTTAATTATGTAGCATTGACTAAAGGAAACCTTTGTTATTGCTTCTCGCATTGATTATTAAACCTGCTGCGGGGGTGGGAGAAGGTAAACACCATGAAGTAAACATGGCTTCTAGGAAATTATCTCTTTTTGTAATTTCCCTCCAGGCCTTCAGTACCCTAAATCCCGGAAACCTGCTGGATTTGATGTACCGGGAGCCAGCACGATGGTCCTACACATTCCAGACATTTTCTTTTATGAGCCGCCTAAAAATACAGCTGGAGCCCTTCCCCGAGAAAGTCTTACAGGCCAAGAAAGGGGTACAGATCTTTGAGAGGTCTGTGTACAGTGACAGGTAAGACCCTGAAACTGCCCCAGGCAGGAGCCCCACGCTCAGCGCTGCATGTTTTCTCTTCTTGCTCAGACTCTGCACCACTCTGGTCATTGAACATTAAACTTCAAAAAATCGTTGCCTTTTTTAAAGACAACACTTTATAGATTTGTTCAGACTTACAGTTCCACAGGGCTGTCATATATATCAAGAGAGGAAATTATATTTTTCATAAACTACATCCACTAAACTTCCCACATTGCCACTGATTATTTTTCCTATTGTTTTCTGGCACAGAGGCCAGCTGGTAGATACCTAATAAAAACATTGCATGTTAAAAGGCACAGAACAGACAATTAAGAAGCAGTGTGAGAAACAAAAAAAGGAAGCAGTGTGTGTTCTAGGAAACCAAGTGAATCAGTGGTTGGTTTTTACTTGAAGAAGACAGCAAGCAGAATAAAAGTGTGTGTTTCTGAAATGATGGCAGAGACATATCCATCCTTTTTTTATTCTTCAAGGAAGGATTTCTAAGAAGAAATAGCACAACTGTGAAATTGACGTCTGTTTTAGATTTATCCTTCTTTGACCCCTTGTTATGAGACAGGGCTTATAGTCCTGGCCCGAGTCTATAGTGGACACACACTGCCTGTGTCAGGTCACGGGAAGGGCATTGCTCTGACCACCTGAGGGGTGAGGTGTGAAGTCACTTTTAATGAAGGCCAGCAGCGAACTTGGGGACTCAGCTCATCTGTTCCGGAGGAGGCCGTCCATCCAGGCTCCAGCATTCCTGGCTGTGCCGCGAGGCCAGGCTTCGACTTAAGCCATTTGGAGACAAGCGAGGGTGCCTTGATCTGGATATTTCTGTTTCGCTTTGTTTTATTTTGACCTGAGGCTCTAAATGACCTGTGTCGGTGTGCAATGGTGGTTTAAACTTTAAAGCATCATGGTCTATCTTAAGCCCCTTTGAGTTACCAAAATGGAAAATGCTGCATTGTCATTGTCCAGTCACTTCTGAAGACACTGTTGATTACCCTTTAATTCCAAGTTAGACAAACTTGTTCTACTTTTTAGAGCTCCATAAAGCCTCCTGGAGGAAAATAAGGGTGTTTGTTAATATGATGTGATTTGTTTTAATGTTACTTAAAATCACACAAGATATGTAAAGCAAACCCTGTGGGCTACGCATTCCCTCACTGTGTACTGCAAGGGAGAGCCCACTCTATAAAAGCTAAATTTGTGAATTACAAATGGACCCTAAATTTTGTGTTGTTCTTTTCACCTGTTGGTTATACTGCTTCCTATTTTCCTCTCCCAAGCCGTGCCTCCTAGACTAGGAGATGAGTTGCATAGAACATCCTAGGTTACTTGGAAATGTACTCACCATCATTTCTAGCCCTTTAGTGAGGTAGACATGTGATAGACCCCTCAGAAATAGAAATACTTTGTTTAAAATAGATCCAGAAACACAGAAGCATAGAATAGACTGGAATCTCAGAGGGAAGGCAGGAGTGGGTAGGTGGATAGGAAGAGTTCAATCAAAAAACTTGCATACATATATGCATAACCCATGGCCATAGACCAGCCGTGGGCAAACTACGGCCTGCGGGCCAGATCCGGCCCATTTGAAATGAATAAAACTAAAAAAAAAAAA